GTATATGTACACTTATATCTGCTTAATTGCAGACAATTGACATTCTTTTCTTCAGGTCCATATAGAAAGGTAAAAAAGCTACAGCTCCCAAGACACTCTACTATATACCCGTCTACTGATGCCAAACGTAAGGCTGGGCACACACCTTACAACCATCGCAAGACTTTTGTCTTGAGGGGCGGGCTTCCGATGACCGCAATGCCGAACGGGCAGTGTGCGCTTGCCAGTCGGGCTTTTATCTTACGAACATGCTACACACCCGCCGAACATCGTACAATGCTCGGCGGGTTTTAAAACATGTTCCCAAGATAAAAGTCATGCGACCTTACAGTAGTAGAGGTCGCACGGCTTCCTTACGATAATTGTACGTTCGCAGGATTTCCCACAATTATTGTACGAGTATCGCAAGGTGTGTGGGCACCTTAATAGATGTTGTGCTTCCTTGGGGTCTTTTATTCATGTGGTGTGGATTTGCCCTTGAATACAAATATTAGAACCGAGTTAATACTTAATGTGATTAGTGGTCTGATGTCAATGGATCCAAGAGCTACAGTCCTGGGCCGGACGGATTTACTTGAAGCCACTTCCCATCAAAAATTACTCAGCTTTTATGCTCTATATTATGCCAAGTGGGCTATACTACTGAGGTGGGAATTACCTGTTGCCCCAACAATTGCGATGTGGAAGGCTGACATAAATAAGGCCCTTATGTTGTATAAACTTGCCTATATGGGTCAGAACTGCCCTGCTACATTTTACAAGATTTGGGCGCCCTGGGTTGAGGCTCATGGTCTGACAGTCTAATGTCTGCCTAGTTAATTTTACCCTACCTATTCTATGCTCTAAACCAGCGTTTTTCAACCACTGTGCCGCGGCACACTAGTGTGCCGTGAGATATTGTCTGGTGTGCCGTCGATTAATCGTTAATTTCTTTGATCAATCAAAGTTACTCACCTCTCCGCCGGCTTCCGGGTCATACCCCCTCCTTTTCTCACCTCCTTTCCCCCACCCCCCTTCCAACCCATATACACGCCCACTTTTTTTTCTTCTCTCTAGAACAGGGGTGGCAAACGCAAATTCATCGGGGGCCGCATCAGCAGTATGGTTACCCTCAAAGGGCCGGTTGTATAGGACTATGCATCTACTCACATGTGCCCATCTCTGCACTTCTGGATGATGCCTATACATCCTTATCACATGTTTATATTCCACGCCTGGTGCTGCTGCACATTCCTACACAGCATACACCTTCCACCAACCATCACTAACAATTTTCACTCGCCAATTGCGAGGGGGCGAGTGGAAATTTTGAGGCCTGACATAGGGCCATGAGACAGGGCGGGGGCGGAGAGGGAGCAAAATGAGGTGGCTGCTGTGCGGGCAACATTACAAGGTCCAGCGGGCTGGATTCGGCCCGCGGGCCTTGTGTTTGCTACCCCTGCTCTAGAATGTTGAAACTTTAACTCTACTGCTATTCGAATGGTTGCCACATTAGCCCACCACCAGTATTTTGCCTGTACCCTTCTTGCACATTGATCTTGTGATTTTTCTTGACATGTTTTTTTTTTAACCACTTCATGACCAGGTGTTTAGACCCCCTTCCTGGCCAGGCCATTTTTCAGTATTCAGCGCTGCGGTACTTTGATTGACGTTTATTCCGTCATGCAACGCTGTACTGAAATTAATTGCATACAATTTTTTGGGGGCAGATAGAGCTTTCTTTTGGGGGTATTTAGTCACCACTGGGGGGTTTCTATTTTTTACTACGGTATATTAAGGAAAAATTGAAAATTTTGGGAAAAAATAGTTTCCCCCATTATATTAGGAAACTATGATTACCCATATTATTGGTAAAATATAAAAGACGGGGTCACGTCGGGTAAAAAGACACCAAACATGTCATGCTTTAACCCCTTCGAGAATGACGACGTACAGTGTACGTCGCCAGCATCGGGGCTGTTTAAACAGACTCCCGGCGACTTTTGCCGCCGGGACTCTGTTTAAAACTTGTAGAGCCGACTGTCGGCTTTACAACAGAAGCGATCCTGGCGACTTACCTGTCGCCAGGAGGAGGTCGACGAACTTCCGTTAATCGATCCACTCCCCGTTCTATAGACCGGGAGCGATGCAGATTGCATCACCTCCGGTCCCTGGGCTGTCAGTTCTGGGCTCCTGCAGCCCAGCTATAAGCTATTGTAGTGCGAACTGCACTTCAATAGCTTATTTCCAGTGTAAAGGTGACACTGGGGGTCTTTTGGACACCCAGCATCACCTTAAAGAGTACCTGTCACCACCATCTGCTATCACATGGGGGGCTTGTAAGCCCCTCATGTGATAGCAGTCAAAGTAAAAAAAACAGTTTTTAAAATCAAATAAAAAAAATCTAATAATAAAAAAAATGTAAAAGTCCCCCGCCCCACCACGAAAAACACGCGTTGGGTGCGCCTACGTATGAAAACGACGAACGCGCTACACATGTTGGGTATCGCCGCGCACGCCGGAGAGCAATAATTCTAGGGCCAGTATGTTGGGGTATCTCTAAATTGATGACCTGTGGGGGCTTTTAAAGCGTCTTCTGTTGACTTTTTGGGGCACTGCAGTTTTTTGCCATTTCACGGACACACGCAATTTGTAAACTGGGCATGTTGGGTATCATTTTACTCGTTATAACCTCATCCTTTATATTTCATTTTAAAAATTGGGATTTTGTTGTGTTTTGGGGCATTTAATGAAATGTATCACTAAATTTTGGGGTTTAATAAGGAGTTGCGCTAATATTGCGCAACATAAAAATTTGCAACTACCACCATTATATTGTATAGGGTCTTGGCATTCAGAAAATATATAATGTTTGGGGGTTTTGTAAGTAATTTTCAGGCCTAAAATGTGCAATATAACATGGGTGCAAAAAATTAAAAAAAAAAAGCCAGTCATGAAGGGGTTTAAATTGTGCGCACCCACAAAAAACTACCATACCCAAAATTGACCATAGGCGACGCTTTAAAAGCTTTTACAGCTCATCAGTTTAGTGTCATCAGTGATTGATAGCCCTAAAATGATTGCTTTCATTTCGACGTTTGCGACGATGTGTAACATGTGCGGCGTAATGGGCACAATCGTCGTTTTCGAACGTATGCACACCCGACGCCTGTTTGCATGCATGTATGGGGGACTTTGAAAAAAAAAAATTCTTTATTTGTAACTTTACATTTTTGGGGGGGGAAACTTAATTTTTTTTTCACTTAACTTTATTGCCATCACATAGGGGGCTAAGAAAACCCCCTTATGTGATAGCAAAATATGTGGCAGGTCCTCTTTATGGGGACATCAGGGATCTCCAAGACCCCTAATGTCACCTAGGACCCCCCTGAAGAAGCAAAGATCTGCTTCATCAGCTTCTCTCTAGCATCTGAAGCTGGAGAGTGACACAAGAATGCGGAAGTGATGTAATATACATCAGTTCCGCATTCTGACAGCGGAGAGGGGACCAGAGGGAGGTCGTGTACCGACAGAGGCAGTATGCGCTGGTCCCGGCGGATCGCTTGTATATTAACGGGCATTGCTGCCTGTTTTCAAATATCGGCATTTCCCGCTAAAGACTCCCGCTCAGATCTAGATCGCTCCTGGCCGGCCGTTTTTTTACAACGGCCGGCCGGGAAGTGGTTAATGTATTTTGTGTTATTGGGTCATTGGCCTGATGTGTAACTGGACCAGCTTGTTCCATTTTGTTTGCTTTGGGTTTTTTTTATGCATAAAACATAAAAATGTTACCAGATTAGGTTTAACCAAGAGGTTAAATAGGAATTTTAAATTTTTTTTTTCGTTTTAACTTTAACAGACATGAAATGTACATTGAAGCTTCCTGCTGTGTTGATTGAGAGTGTCTTCTAAAAGGACACTCACTGTGTTAGAGCAGCTGCACACAGCAGAAACAGGGTTTCATTAGGAGTCTCCACTCTCCAGCCCTTGGACCCCAGCACACAGGGGGGATATAGCAGTCATATGACAACTACTAAATAGATGGGGGGGAAGTGGGATGTATTTAAAATAAATATTTGCCAATTACTTTTATGTAGCAGATTAAATGCCTCGGTAGTTATTTTTTTTAGACTAAGGGTTCACAACTCATTTAACAATCTGTAGCCTTGTCATTAAAAAGGATTACAGTTTAAATCTGCTAAATACATTCCAAGTGCATCAAAACAACAAACTGTGCAAAGTTTTAATGAATGGTTGAACACACCAGCTAATGTGCCAGAGCTAAAGCTCTGCAATCAGCATGAACATGAGCTTTGCTGATTGGAGAGCACTAGCTATGGCTCGGGGGTGTCAGGCTTATGCAGAAAGACCACTGCTTTTACACAGAGAACAAGGGTTCTTCTCTACAGCATGTTGGCAGGGGTCAAGCTTTTCTACTCAAGCCTGTGGCTGCTTTCTAAAGCAAAAAAGCTGTAAGATTGTGTACCTCTTGTTTAGATGCACCTGGAATGTATTTGACTTAAAACTGAAAGTTTAATGGGGATCTAATAATATGCATAGACACAAAGTAGTCAATGATTAAGGCAGAGTCATGATATGCAGTTGGCCAGGCAGAGTAGAGTCAAAGTCATCCTCAAAATTAGGCAAGATGGCCCAACGGAAAGATTTACAGGGTTATTCACAAAAGGGTGAAGAGTTTGGAGAAGGCAGGAGAAGTGAACAATCTAGGACAACATAGCGGAACGGAAAGTGAGCTGAATTGGAGAATTTTTCCAAATCAGCAATTGTCCTAGATTGTTCACTTCTCCTGTCTTCCCCAAACTCTTCACCCTTTTGAATAACCCTGTTAGAAGAGTGAATACAAAAACAAAACTGGGAATCTGACATGTACAAAGAAGTAAAATTATGATAGCAGTCCTTTAAATCTATACTCTGGTTAATTCAAAAGGAACGTAGTACTTAAATTTTTAGTTTAATACACATGTTCATGTGCATAAATATATTTATTTTAATTAAAAGCTTTCTATTGAAAAACATGAAATACTGATACACAACAGGAATTCAGCCCAAGAACATAAAACTGTAATTACAGCTACTTTTATAAAAAAAAAGGGAAAAGCAGGCATTTAAATAGATTAATACTATGAAGGAAAAAATATTACAATCCAGAGACAAGCTGTATCCATAAAAGAATAAATAGTTAAAATTATTCAGTAAAGTTCACATAATCTAATGATTACGGGGCCTGTAAAAAATTTATTAAAATTTACAAGTAACTTTGTATTTAATTTTTAACGCAAAGGAATAAGTGAAAGCATAGCTTGGAGTATCCAGTTTATATTATAATGCTGATACAGGATGTTGGAAGAGACCATACCAAACGGCAGCATTCGAGAGCGTGAGCATCTCGTACCCTGTCCGCATTGAGCGGGCCTGTGAGAATCGTGAAGTCAGCGCGACACAGGGCCTGCAATGAATTCCCCGCTGGCGGGTACAAACAAGGTATAATGTCAGAGTTAGTAGGCAATTCCTTATTTTGTACCCATTAGCAGTACGTTACCTGTTAACTTTACTGACTTTTTATAAATAGGGCAAAAATAAAAAAAAATAAAAAAATAAAAATAAAAGTGCTTTAGAGCACGTGTTCGTATCTTCAAAGTCTCTATATTAGCTATAGTAAGCACTTTCTGGGTGCTGTAAAATTTTAAAACAATTAAACGTTACAGTATTTTAATATTTAATATATCTTAACATTACGCTTATTGAAAAATAAAAAATACAAGATATTTAAATATAAAAAAAATTAATAAATAAAAAAAAAACAACAAAAAAACAAAAACAAAAAAGAAAGACAGAATAGTTAAAGATAAAAACTCAACATACCTGTTTGTGACACGTTGGAAAGGGAATAATTTAGTATGGTTTGTAACTATTTTGATGACCACCTCGTCTGGCTGTTTTCCCATAACCACTCTGCTGATCTAAAAAATGAAAAATATCTGTTTGATAGCAAAGACTATAGATTCTTTGTTTCTACATATTACAACTGGAGTGATCAGGAGGGTCTGTGTTATGACATTCACTAATTAAAATTACATTGCAACATATAACAAAATAACATTTTAAAAAATTAAAAAAAGATACATACTAAAAACAGATGTACATACTAGAATGGATTATAACATGCATACTAAAACAATTATTCATTAATCATTACAAATCGGCTGACCCAGGATATACAAAATTGTATTCAACTCCCACACAACTGCACTCTACCCAGATTCACCAAACTGCTAACAAAAAGAAAAACCACTCACGATGCCAACAGTTTATTTCATGTAGTGAGAAATTCCTCTTACAATAAACACTTTAAGGCCACTTTTTAGTTACACCTTCTTAACGCAAATAGTTAAAATGGTAAACAGTGACTGCAACTGAACACAAAGCTTTAAGATAAAAGATTCAGGTATTCGATCATAAAAGAAAAATGGGAAATGTGTGATCTAAGCAACTTTGCCAGTCAAATCCAGTGAAATGATTGGTAGCGCCAGATAAGATGCTGCCACTATCCTAGAACCTGCTGACCACCTTCCTGAGTTTTGCATTGATGTTTAGACTTTACAGAGAAAGGAAAGAAAAATATCCTGTGAGCTGCAGGCCAATGGGTGAAAACACCTTGTTACAGTGACACTAAACTCAGGAGTTCAATCTTAATACATTAAAGTAGCTGGACCATTAACAAAAATGTATCTCATCTGTGTATCACTCTGCTGTAGATACTCAATTCATCTCTGAATTCCAGCTGATCACTGTGTGTGTTGTAAAAAAGCCACCACTCCGAGCTCGCTTATGTGATGGACTGCAATCTCAATAGGATTTATTAAACTAAACATGAGATGGTAGTCCATCGCGGGAGTGAGCTTGGAGCGGTGGCCACACACAGGGCCCATGGGGGAACAAAAGTAACCACCCTCCGGAAGGAAGGACAGTGTCAGCGTGAATCCAGAGATGATTTGAGGATCTACAGCCGAGTGATACACAAATCAGATACATTTTGCTAATAGATAAGGTACTTGAATGTATTTTAACTGATAACTTCAGTTTAGTGTCAGTTTAAATGGAACATTAGAGGAACATTGCTGTTAAGTGGTGTTCACAAAGAAAAACCTTGAAAAGGGTGTGTTAAAAGCAGAAGACCCTGCTAGGTTCTACTCCTGTCAGACAAGAATAGGAAGATATGCTACATTGAGCACAGACATGCAGATGGGAAGGTTAAATTCTGGGGTATACAGCATGAATGCATGTGCCCATCTGGTCTTTGTTAACATCAGAATCCTTAATACCAACTAAGCATCGTACACCATATACCTGACCTGAGAAACACAAACATACCTGATTATTGCTGTTAACGTGGGTACTAGATAGGTATCCCTAAAAAGTGGTCACCGAGTGTAAAGTACAATAGCATAGACAACAAACATACATATTTAAAGTACCGTCACAGTTTAACATGCACCTAAAGCAGTCTTATTATTAGTAAACTACCACTTGAATGTATTAGAAGACTCTTCCAGCTTGACCCGAATCGAGGAGCAGAGCTCAGTCTTCCAAGCTTCACATAATAGAGCTTAGTGGGTTTTAGGGCTCCCTAAGAACTGGAGGAAAAAAAGAAACTACATGCTGGCTTCTGGAGGGGCACACGGCATTGGCGGTTGTGAGTAATGTACATTTTAACAGTAGGTTGGGTCTTCTCATATGACTTCAATAGTAGTGAAATTATACTTTATATGTGTCACAGGGTAAAACAAAAAGCAAATGTTTATGAGTATGAATAGGTATCCAAGCAAAGACACATCCACGATGGTGCAAGCAAATACAAAAGGGAAAGGGGTTTGGACTTTTGGGTTTAGTAAACAAAAGGAAACACTTTCAAGTAGAAAAACCTTTATAATACAGAATACAATACAGAAAAGGACAAAAAAACATATGATAAAGATTTGTCCAAATGCACCAACTCTTGTAATTAAACAATATATACTTGTTACAACAAACGTGCTTGGTGCATCTCCGGATACTCACTACTGTAATCTCCATAGCCATAGTAGTTATATCCAGTGTAGTCATAGTTTCCATACCCTCCATAGCCCTGGTTGTTGTATCCATAACTACTGTAGCTTGGATTCCAGTAATTACTATATCCCTGGTTCCAGTTTTGGTTTGAGGCTATTGAAACAAATTACCAACATCATTAGAAGAAGGTTCGATATACATATATATATATATATATATATATGAGG